GCGGAGCCGCCGCCCCGCGTGGCGCTCGTGTCGCGGCGCGGCGAGTGGGAGGCCCTGGAGCCGCTGCTGCGGGAGGAGCTGCGCGCGCGGCCCGTGCTGGGCCTCGACTGCGAGTGGGTGAGCGCGGGGGCCGCGGCACGGCGCCGGGCTCGCCCCTCCTCCCTCCTGAATGTATAGATAACGTATAGGTAACAGCCCCGGCGGCGGGGGGTGCTGCTGCGTGCACAGAGAGCAGCTGAGCGGGCGGAAAGCCGCCGCGCTGCCCTGTCGCGTCCGCCCACGCGAACTTCCAGAGAGGCTTGAGCCGGGTGTGAAGCGGGTGTCCTTCCTAGCAGCGTGGCCGCAGGCTTGGCCCTCGAGCCGCGGTGGAGCGGGCTCTGCCACGGAGAGGGCTTGGCGTGGTGCCGGCTGCGTTGGAGAGCAGGCCCCCCAGCTAGGAGCAGGAAGGAACGGGGAAAGGGGGAAATTTCCCCAGCGGAAGCCCTTAAGAAGTAGCTGATGGGCAGTAATATTATGAAGCAAGCCATAAATTTTCAGTAAGAGTTAGACTCATCTGGCAGTGTTTACTCCCTGGTCTGATAGGTTTTTCTGTGGCCACTTTTGTTGCTTTTTGTTCCTTGGTACTGCTGCAAACCATGTAACCTGAAATCTGATTATTTTTCTTGCCCCCAGGTATCCACGGAAGGAAAAGCGCATCCCGTGTCCCTCCTGCAATTGGCTTCTTCCAGCGGCCTGTGCCTTCTCGTCCGGCTGCCCAGGCTCGTTGCCGGCGGAGAGCCCATCCCAAAGACCCTGCTGGACGTCATGGCAGACGGCTCCGTGCTGAAAGTCGGGGTCGGGTGCTGGGAAGATGCCTGCAAGCTGCTTCAGGATTACGGGCTGGCTGTCAAAGGGTGTGTGGATCTGCGGCACTTGGCCGCGAGGCAGCGGTGAGTGTCGCAGTGCCCTGGCCGCGCTGGCACTGCCTGCGAGTCCGGGCTGGCCGGAGAGCCCGAGTCCAATGCTGCGTTACGGGATTTCCTCTGAATTATAAAATAAAGCAGCTTGCTTTTCTAACAGCTGTGCTTCCCTTTAAAATGTTACGCTTCCAGTACTGTTTTTCTCCTCGTTCATCTTAAAATAGAATGTTTTACGTGGGACTGTTCTCCGCGTGTGTTATATGTGCGTTATATGTGCTGTTAGCCATCTGAAGCACGGACCATTGACCTGCTGGTGCCTCATTAGCACCAAGGACACATTTCTGCTCCTTGAGTTCTTGTTGGTTCCTTGAGCAGCCAGAGTTCTTGCCAGTTATTCCTGGATCCTAACACCTCAGGAGGTGATCACTGATAGGTCTCTATTTAACAGGCAGAAAACTTAAAGCCAAACACTTCAGCTGTAAGTGTTACCAACTCCTGTACTTGCATGCTAGGCATATGGCAGGCATTAGATCATTTTAAATGTAGACAGGACATTTTTGTGGAGATGAGGGAGAAGCAGCTGAGTGGGAGTTAGGCAGCATGTGCAGCAGCACATCCTGCCCTGACCGAATCAGGGTATACAAACCTGTCTGAGGTTGCATGTGTGTTTAGTTTTGTCTTTAATGTGTTTGTTCCATTTTCTTTGTTAAGGAAGGATCTACTTCACAACTGCCTTAGCCTGAAGTCTTTAGCTGAAAAAGTCCTGAACTACCCACTCGACAAGTCTTCTCATGTGCGTTGCAGCAACTGGGAGGCAGAAGAACTGACTCAAGAACAGGTACATCTTCTGCTTCAACTTAGTGTTTTGGAAGGAAGAGCAATCTTGTCATTAAAGGAGAGCTGTTATGATAGATTGGAGGTGCCTTCCAATTCTCTCTTAAAACCTCGGGTGGGGGTGTGTGTGACTGATCTGACATTAATTTCAGGCTGTGCCTGAGTTTTCCTGTCTTTCTGTAAAAATCTTTTTTTGTCATCTCTGCATTCTTGAACCTCGTTTTCCTTTAATGCAGACGGACAGCTAAATTCACTGGAAGTGCTTGTGTGCCTCAAACACCACCTTCTTTTATTATTTTATTTCCTCCAATCCATAACAGTAAGAGAAACATCTCTTCCTGCAAACCTTGTTTACATTCTTTGGACTATCTCGCTTCCTGCTTGCTTTAAACAATCCCCTTGCAGATGTCTACAAAAGCAGCGACCAGCAGAGGGGGTGACAGGATAAGTAATCACATGGAGGATGTACTGAGGGAGGCCCTTTTACAGCTAGGGAGGGCTTGGTGGGCCTGGTTGGCTGTCTGGGCTCAGAAATTTCCAGCAAGTGCCCTTGAGATCCTACTGAGCATTTCAGGCCTGATTGGCTTGGAAAGTTTTCTGTGCCTTGTATTCGCAGAGGAAGCTAAATTGGAAACAGAGTGTTTCAAGTTGGCCCTAAAAATGGAGCTTGTAGTGGTATGGATGTGGTACTTAACTGCCAGAATTGCTGTGGACTTCAGAAGAAATTAATCCAGCTTCTGCTTTTACTCTATCTAGTGCTAAAGTTGATAATATTTGGGAGTGTTCACTGTGTGCCAGTATCACAACGTGTTCACTGTTTCCTCAAGGTCCTCTACGCCGCTAAGGACGCCCAGATCTCCGTGGCTCTGTTCCTCCAGCTGCTGGGCCTTTCCTGCCTCCCTGCCTCGCCGGGAGGTGAAAACTCTGCCGCGGCCTGGGCAGAGGCGCTGCGTCGGTGCCAGGGCCTGGTGGACGTCCCGTTCCGAGCGAGGAGGAGCAGCGGCGCCGGGGAGGAGCGGGGCGCAGAGGCGGGCTCCCCGCAGAAGGGCCGGCCTCGGAGATGTGGCGCGGGCAGCCAGCAAGCGCGGGATCCACGAAGGCACAAGCGAAAGCCCCTGGGCGCCGGCTACTCCGCAAGGTAGGGCTGCAAGCACCCTGCCATTCCCTGCACTGCGGGAGCCAAACGGATCAGGCCAGCACGGCCTGCTCATTAACGAGGCAGATAATGGGGCAGACCCTAAACTTGTGGGTTTTTTTTTCCTATTGACACTCAAGCTGTTTTTGTTTATAAATCAGAACATCTTGGAGAGGTCTCCTTCTGCTGCTGCAGCGGGCTTAAGTGGGAAAATTGATGTCTTTGCTTTTATGTTTGGATACACACTAATATAATTTAATCATAGGGATGTAGGAACTCTAATTGGCTGTAATTGCCACTCTTTGTAGAGGGGGAAAAAAAATGGCACTTCAATATTTGTGTTCTCCTTTTCAAGATTTGGCAATGGTAAGGAGACATTTTAATGGAGTCAATAATATTGATTCATTAGCAGTCATTAACAATATTGTATTGTAGGAAATAAGATCCCTTTATCTTTCTTTTTTTACTGGGAGGCAGTGTTGTACTAAACAGACTATACCTCATGGGAGAAATAAAATCTTGAACAAAAATGCATCCCGTGCTAAATTGAGGTCTAGCTACGATAATTTATTATTTTTTTTTTTTTATCCAAGCTTGATTTCATGAGAGGGCTCTCTCAACCTGGTTTAGACTCACTCTTTCATATGGTATCTCCAAGAGTCTGAAAATAATTTCAAAAGTCCTTTTCCACTCTTCTTTTCTATAGGCACGTCAAGTTTGAATGCTTACTTATTTAGAGTTGGGAACTAACCAAATTAGGTGATGGTTGAGCTGATGCTTAGTAGAAGCAGGTCTGTAGCATCTTTGTGGGTTTCTTTGTTCCCATGCCACCATAGGGCTCTAAGAGGTTTTGTTGTTGTTATCATTTCTCTTAGACAAACAGCAATGTTTTCATTAATCTAAGGTTTAGAAAATGCCTCTTAATAGGACAGTTGATTCTTGAAATTACCTTGTCCTTAGGCTGGCATGCTCTTTTAGCTCCTCTTCCTTTCTAAGAAGTATTTTTTTCTATTTTTTATTTTATTTCTGTGATCATGCTGGCTTCTTTTGAAAAACAGGGTTTAAACTTGCCAGTTCTATAGGCAGCAGAGTAACAGAGATCCCTCACAGCCAAATGTGGTGCAACTTCTCCGATGCTCTACTGCCCTCAGCAGCAGTCTGTGTTACATTGCTGAATAAAATGTGAATGTGTAGGGGGAGTGCTGTGATTCAGAGGTGAAGCTGCAGGGAAGGCAGGGCTGTAGAGCCTTGGGTTTGGGCCGTGCTGTTCTAGTTGCTGCAACGTTATCCCTGTTGCACAGAAAATCTCCGCTCTATGACAACTGTTTCCTGCATGCACCAGATGGGCAGCCTCTGTGCACCTGCGATCGCAAGAAGGCTCAGTGGTATCTGGACAAGGGGATTGGAGGTGAGTGTGGTGCTCTTCCTCCTGGCTAAGAAAGACCTTATTTTTGCCATGTTTCTTAGTTAAATGGGCATGGACTTCTGCTTTCTCTTTTGTAAATGCTGTTGGTGATTTTTCAGGAAGTCTCCTTCCTTTTAGCATTCTTATTCTAGCTTTCAAATGCGTTTTGTTGTTGCTGAATTGGCTTTATCCTTTCAGAGCTGGTTAGCACAGAGCCATTTGTTGTGAAGCTGCAGTTTGAGCCTTCAGGACGACCTGAGTCTGAAGTGGACTATTACCTTACTGTCAAGGAGAACCTGTGTGTTGTGTGTGGCAAGAGGGAGTCCTACATCCGGTGAGTTGTTCAGCAGGCTAAGAGGAAAATGTGACTTGTAGAGCAGGTCTGAAGTCTCCATCTCGTTCAGCATCAGAAATTTCCTTAGAGGCCTGAAATGTCGTATGTGTTTATATTTTGCATGGGCTGTCACTGTTTGAATGCCACGTGGTCATGTGTATTTGGGTAGTTTGATAATGAACAGGCCAGTGTTGCCCGTCCTTAAGGGGTATACTGGGAGCAGTCTGTGGAGAGCAAAGTCTTAGGAAATTTGTGTGTTGCAGCTGGAGTTGCAGGGAGCAGCAGTATGCAAACGTCCGCTGTTCTGATGACATTCTCCCCTGAGAATAACTGTACTACCCTTCCAGTATTTATTCCTGACAGTTTTGAACTATTTAGATGAGCTTGACATCAGTGAGGACAGAAAGATTGAGATTATTGTTTTTACTGCTGGTACTGGTTAGTTGAGAGGTCTGCTCATCATAGCATATTGTTTCATTCCTGCAGTATGAACCACTTTTTGTTTGAAAGTGATGGACTTTGAATGAGTAGAAGCCGGAGAACCTTTTAGTGCAGTCAGGGCCTGACCCCGGTGATCTCTGTTTCCTTGGCTGTTGGTATCAGTTGTTGTCACTGTGCCTCCGGAGGCGGATCTGGTGGGAGGCAGCTCCAGCCAAACCTAAGGCGCCGGTTGCTGCTTTCTGCAGGAAGAACGTGGTTCCCCACGAATACCGGCGGCACTTTCCCGTCCAGATGAAGGACCACAACTCCCACGACGTGCTGCTGCTGTGCACGGCGTGCCACGCCGTCTCCAACTACTACGACAGCCGCCTCAAGCAGCAGCTGGCCGAGGAGTTTGGCGCCCCGGTGGGCTCCGAGGACGGGCTCCGCGTGCTGGAGGACCCGCTGCGCAGGCAGGTGCGCTCGGGCGCCCGCGCCCTGCTCCACGCCGACGGGCTGCCCGCCCCCCGCAGGGCCCAGCTCCTGCGGGGCATCCAGGACTTCTTCAACACGGAGGAGGTGACCCTGGAGATGCTCCAGGAGGCAGCTGGGCTGGAGACCAGGTAGGACGGGCTCGTCGGTGGCTGTGGGATTTGAGTCGTTGCTTTTAGGCACCTAAGCTCTGCAAAAGGGTCTCTACATGAGGGTGTTTTGGTAAGTATTAATACAGTGACAAAAATAAACCCATCAGCAGTTGCAGAGCAAGGATCACACATGCTGACTTTTTTTCCCACCCCTTAGCTTTTTAATTAAAATTAAATTTAATTAAAATAAAACATCTATTATTTCGCTAAACAAATGTTCTTGGGCTAAAAAGTATCTGGATTAGTGACTAGTTAGGAGTTGAACTGCCTTGTAAAAATGACCTCTAAAAAGATAACTTCATTCCTTAGCCTGTGGACCCTGGATTTATAGTACACTACTGCATTTAACTAGAAGGCAAGGAGAAAAAACAAGCAGTATTTTGTGCTGTGTCTGAAGACCATAAATAGATAAACAGACCATGGATTTCCTGCTACATTTTTTTTCCTGCCCCATGGTCCGTGAAAGGCATTGTTTCACCTCCTACCCCTTGTCCCCTTTCTTTTCCGACAACCTCCTACCCTTCTCGCTCCCTGCCTTGTCCCTAACATAGTTGTGCACATCTTAGAGGTGGGATGAGGGAGGCAGACTGAAAGATACCTGTGCACTGAGTGCACCAGTCTCCTCTGCTTCTTTCCCAAAGCCTTCCTGAAAGTCTTCTCTTAGCTAATGCCAGGTTTTGCTGTTTGCATGAAGACTGTTTTTCCCGTTCAGCTCTTATTTGCTGCTTATTGTACCTCAGTACCTGTTCTGGGGAGGGAGTTTGGTGGCGAGATGAGAGCTCAGGAGAACTTAAGTTTCTTGCTGTGAAAAATTTGCAGTGTGCCTCCTGAGAGGCCTGTGTTGTGCCTTGCGAGCAGTGTTTGGTATTGCTACAGAAAGGTAACGCTTCCTCATTTTGAAGAATCCACATTCTCAGTGCTGCTGTGTTCCAGAAAGCAGCCTGGCACTAAAACTGAGCATAAAACCCTTCCGCCTATGTCCCCTCCTTGTTAGCTCACTGTACTGCTGTAATCAAGCAAGTCCCACCACTGAAAGTCCCTTGGCACCTTGCTGGTCCTTGCAGCTAGGTCTGGACTCTGGCCATGGGCTTGTGCACTGAACTCTGCTCGTGTTCTGGCAGGATTTGCAACGAGAGCTACCTGCCCCACGGGCTGAAGGTGGTGCAGTGTTTTGCTAAAGGAGGCCTGCGCTCCCTCATGCAGTTGGAAAGACGCTGGCGGCAACATTTTTTGGACAACATGCAGCCCAAGTACCTCCCAGAGCAGTGGTCCGTGGACCATAACCATGGGAAGCTGATTCGGAAGTACGGGGAGGATCTTCAGATTGAGCTGTCCTGAGAGCACCTTCCTGGAGAGACTCGAGGTGGTATCTAACAAACGTGTAACTGAAGGGGGAAGGAGTAGTTTTATTTTTATTTCTGTTTCTCCACTAACATCTGGGTCTGGGTTTGTGCAGTGGCTCTACCGGGTTTGGCATTTGTAGAGTTGAATACTTTGAACTGAATTTTATGATCTGGCTTAGAATATATAATCCTAGAATGGATGGGTGACTTACTACATCTTTTCTTTTTCCTCTCTTCTTTTCCCCTGTGCAGACAGGGCTGACGAGCCTGTGTGCTGGCTATTTCAGTACAAGAGTGTACGGGGGACTTTTCTTCTCGAAGTGACTGTGGAGAGTTGATTCCTACCCTTCTAGGATGTCAGATGCCTCCAGACCATCTCTTTTTAACATACAGCACAACATGTGGACCTTTGTAGGGTTCCCAAGGATCCCTAGGCTGTACCAGCAGAGTCTCCTGAGGCCTCGTGATTAAGTCTCCTTTCTTTGCTTTTGGTACAGTTGAGTTCATCTGACTTTTTGGAAAAGAAATCTGCCAGAGAGAGATTCCTTGTTTGGAAATAGCAAGGAAACATTTTTATTTTCTTCAGATTCTGAGCAGGATTGGCATTTTGGATCGGTCATGAGTTTTCCTGGTAGTGGCTGCCTGATGAGAAGTGACTTTGCTCAACTCTGGTAGTGTAGGAGCACCCATGTTAAGTCTCTTACTTTTTTTTTAAACTGGCTCCAGCATCATCCTGTTTCTAAAAACGTTCCTTCCCAATTCGGCTCATTTATGATAGTTTGTGGCAGGTACCTTTTCCCCATCAGACTGAAATGGGGTCAGATGTCTTAAAAAGGATGAGAGGAAATAAAATTTTACTTGAAGACCAGCATCTTTTAAGAGGACAAGGCACACGTGACAGGCAGCTGCTCTGTCCCCGAGTCCAGCTGGTTGGGTGGCGAGTGGGTCGTGGGCTCTCCGTGCCTGTTTCCCTGTCTCTGAAGTGGGACTAGCAGTGCTTACCTACCTCACAAGGGTGTTGTGAGGACTAATGAATTCGTGTTTTCGTGAAATGCTTTGAAAATAGAAGCCAGTACGTGCTAATTTTTACTGTGTTTTTTCTAAATGTGCTCCTCCCTGACTTCTCTTAAATATTTATGATTTTTGCCTGGTGCTAGACTGCAGTTAAATATAACTTTTTAAAAATAAATAGCTTTTTCTGTGAAACTAACTTTGATGACATGAATTGTCTTAGATGACTCTGTTTTCCCTGAATGATGAAGCTATGCTCGAGTTGTTCAAGTCTTTTTAAAGACATTTCAGTCAAGTCTTTAATGCGTATTTTGTAACAAAATTTGCCTGGAACTCCAGCCTTCCCACGATCATGGCTGATGCTCTCTGCTCTCTGGTAATTCAAGAAATTTCACGGCCTGGGCTGAAAGCTTGTTTGCAGCAGAGCCTGTCTGAGAAGGTAGGAGCTGTGGAGACTGTAATCGCAGCAAGAACCTCTTGGCCTCAGCAGCAGCAGCAGCAGCAGCAGCAGTGTTTCTCTCCAAAGGAGGATTTTGAGGATCTGCTTGGATAGTGCGATCTCCTGTCTCTGCCTCCAGATCCAGATGTGAGAGCTTCATGCAGCTCAAACTCCTTTTTCATGATTGCAAGTACAAACTATCCATCTTCCTCTTCTTTCTGCTCTGTTTTTCTTGGTTTGTCCTGATGCTTGAACTGCTGATAAAGCTGCCCTGGTTTAATGTAACCTGCAGCCTGAGCACTGGGCGGTTTTCTGTATGTTGAAACAAGAAAACAAAGATGATATTGAAGCAGGAATCTGACTGCAACTCCTCTGAATGTAAAGAGTCAATGGTATGATAGAATAACTTTTATTTTTTTCAAATCACCAGCGCAGAAATAGGTGTTTTCATGGAACACATCCTTAATAAATATTTTCTTAACCAAGATTTCTTGTGGTTGGTTGTCAGTTAACTTTCATCATTTTTGTACAGCTTCCCCCTTTCTTTCAGCTTGACTATGTTGTGTAGAATAGATTATTATATTGCTTCTTAATTTTCTGCTTTTTAATTATGCATGCTTGTTTTTCACTATTCATTAGATTGTAGCAGTTCTGTGGTGGGAATCGGCCTCTACTGATGATTTACATGATTACTAGAATATACTAATACCTCTTCCCTCCCAGTAGAGTTGATTGGACTCAGGCATGTCCAACAGTCAGAAGACCAAATCTGCAGATTAAACTTCCACGTATGTCTTTGTCCCTAATGGTTAATGCTGGGGGAAGATCCCTGCAGCCCCTTGTCCTTGCTGCTGGGCGAAAGGAGACAGGGTTGCCCTGGAAGGGGCTCACTTGGAAGTTACTTTTGTCACTGTCCCACAGTGTGGCAAAGTTCTCTGTAATGAGGTGACAAGTCTTGCTGCACTAACGGGGCGGCTTGCTCGGTGCTTCCCAGTTTCCTGTTCCCAGATGCTCCTCTGGAGCTGGAGCGCTGCTCTCTGCCTTCCCGAGCACCCCTCCTTGTGGGGTGCATTCCGTGGGGCACGAGGTGCCCAGCCCTCTCCGCAGGCTGCCTATGTCAGTCAGTGATGCAGCCAGTGCTGCCTTTCCAAGCAGATCCTGCTTGACAGGTTAATTAGGCTGATGACAGGCTTGGCATTTGGGCTGCCTTCATTTCCTTCCTCTGACATCTTTAAAGGTCCTCACTGTCACATCCACGTCTCACAGGACTGAAGGTGATGTGTCTCTGAGAGCTTCTTGCAGTTCCCTGTGGCTGGGGCTCATTAATGCTGGGGATAGGCAAATATCTGCCTGTTGGGTCTCTATTGCTGTCATAACGCTTAAACAACACTTTTTTTTTTTCCACCCTGCAGAAGAGGAAAGGCTGTTGCCCGTCAGTAGGGTTGTTACCCTCCCTGTCCTGGTCCCGTGCCTAAGTGCCTTTGAGGAACGGGGATGGACAGGCACGGACTCTGCCCCTCTCTGCCACACCAGGGAGAACGATGACACTGGTGGCCCTCTCCGCTGTGCCATTTTCTGTAATGATTTAGATATCCCTCTTGCCTGATTCCATATATCAGCATCTTGATTTCTTCCCTTCAGGCCATGGGGAGGGCAGCAAAGCTGCTGCACCAGGGTTAGTGCTGCGCCCTGAGGTCACACTTAAGCAGCTCTGCGATACTACCTGGGGTCTCAGTGATGCTGATTACTAGAAAACAAGGCAAGGATGCCCCCCTTTTTTTTTTTTTTTTTTTTTTTTTTTGCAATCTCAAGGATAAGTACAGGTTCTGAGACGGAGCAAAAGAAGAGAGGGCTGAATTAGGGCTTTGAATGTAAAACAGAGATGCCATTTCTAGAGAACAAGAAACCCTTGCACAAGTAAAGCTTCAGCTACAGAGGATATAAAGTATGGCTTTTGTCTTTCTTTGCTTAAAGAACGGAAAGATTGCTCAGTGAGTAAGGAGCAAAAGAGATGAGGCCTTCACGTATTTCAGTGGAAATGTGTAAGAAGATGTGTGTGAAAAAGGAACAAGGCAGCTGCCACAAATGCAGGCTTAGGAGGCATGTGTGTGTCGAAGCCCCCTCTGCAGCTTGCTGTTCCTCTGCGAAGCTGCTCCTCGCTGCACTGTGCTCTGCAGGGATCTGCCACATCTCTCACATTTATTAACAGGAAGTCCTTTCCAGGGAAAACTCCTTTGGAAAAGGCCGAGCGCTGCTCTGCGTTGGCTGAGCGCTGCCAATTGCCCTTTCTTCCCCTACCCTTTTTGCCTTTATTTCTGTGCCTTGATTCTTTCTAAGAGCTATAGCGATAAATAAGAGCAGGAGACACTTTGCCTGCTGGGGGCAAGCTGAGGGAATATGTGTGACATTATCTGTCAAGCATATTGTAAAAACACCCAGACAAAAACCCTTACCCTTTCTTTTCTAGTAAAGGCTATGGAGAGACCAAAGTTTAACCATAAGTTTGTGTGTATAGGGCTGTCAGCTTTTTGCTATTTGGATAATGTTTCTGCATGTATAGTGCTGTCAGCTTTTTGCTGTTTGGATAATGTTTTCTGCATGTTTGCAAGAATTACACCTTTCATTTTTCTTCTCCAGCCCTCTTGTGATGTGTGGGTAGTGATCCTAGATGGTCTTGTACAGCTGTGCATCTGAAAATGTTTTGTTGATGTATTAGAAACCAGCTCCGCTCTACAGTGATTTTTTTTCCCCCCATGCAATAATCTATCCTAGGAAGAAGGTTAGAACTAGAGAAGTCTTAAACTGGAAAATATCAGATTAAAATGCCTATCTCTTAATGAATTTTATCTATGGAATAAGAAAGTTGCAATAAATCAAATTATCAATTGCTATAAAGCCAGGGTAATACCTCCTGGCTTGGTTTTTGGCTTGGTAGCCATAGGCTGTTACCACTAGATGGTAATATTAGACCCTCAAAAGTACCCAGTAATCTTTCTTTCTCTGCACTGTGAATAGCAATGGGGACTTTTGTGCCAGGGCTTTGTTCTGCTAACAGCACACAGCCCAATCCAGCTCCACTGCCTCTGAGGTTTCCGTGTGTAGGGAAATACTGCAGGGGCCTCCTACCAGCTTGCCAGTGTGGTAGCTCTGGACGAAGAGGTGAGAAGGTGGGTGAGGGCAGATGGGTTTAAGAGCTGGCGTTTCCCACCAGGCTGGCAGGTGAGGATGGTGCTCTCCAGGGGATACAGACAGGGATATGTGGCTGTAGAGGGCAGCCTGAAAGAACCCTATTTATCCAGTGTAGAGGAAACAAAGAACTGAGGGACAAGGAGATTAGTATGTAAAACAGTAGCAGAAAGTATTTTCATCATCAGTTTTATGGTATACTGTAGCAAGAACAGAAAGTGATGACTTAATGTCAACAAGGGGGATTTGGGTAAGTCATGAGGAAAAGCTTCCTTATGGAGCTTGAGCTTCTCGATACAGGCCCTGTTGCTCCCTCACAAGGTGCTCGGTGTCTGCTTGGTTGCCAACCAGCCCCGAACAGACCTGCAGGGGACTGAAGCTAAAATAGGGTGACTAGTAACTAGCTCTGTCCCGGGCACATTGCTGTCGTGCTCCCTCCGTGCCCCTCAGGCAGCCGCCGCCAGAGCTGACACGCAGCTCTTCTCCGTGAGCGCTTTAATTCGTCTGTACCTCTTCCGGACTTTTATAGCTCTTAAGAAACAGCCGTGAGTGGCATCTTCTATGAGGGGAGGTTTATTTTGCCGCTGTGCAGCTGGCTGCACTGGGTGCCACCGGGGAGGTGACCTGGGCGCGCGTCGTCGCGCTCTCCTCCTGCCTCCTCGCAGGGGGTTTCAGCACCGGCCCTCGCTCCCACGGCCAAGGGCTTCCACAGCAAGGCATAAGGGCCAAGGGAACTTGCAGACAAGTGGAACTTTTTACTTTCCAGAAGTTCCCACCCCCTTGGGAAGAAACACAAAAATCCCCAGCCCCAAACAAGCCTTTCTCTTGCTAAATAAAGACTCGTTTTTAAATTCCAGAACTTCACTTGAGGGAGGGATAGAGTCAGTAACCTTCCTAGCCCTGTTTTTCTGTAAATGTCTGTTTTATTTTGTTTTCTGAGAAGTTAAACTACTGGACAAGGAAACAAACTGGCCTGGAATCAAGATGGGAAATATATGCCAGTGAAACCATCATAGTTTTCTCACTTTCATCCTTACAGGGCTAAACTTCCATTGCAAACAAGGAGGAAGGGGGAAACCTGAGAAGGACCATCAAGTAGGAGCTGAAGGGGATTGCAGGAGGCCTGTGGTGCTGCGGTGTGTAACACACACCGGGCAGAGCACCCCAGCTGCAAGCCTGCAAATGGAGATGCCCCTGTGCTAGACAGGAGTCAAAGTTTAGTTAATTCAGGGTAATTTTTCTGGCCGTATAGGTAAGCACTGTGAGCCTGGGTCTCTCTGGACAGTTTGTTTTTCACACTTCATATTTTCAGAGTTGCCTGTGAAAACTGAGGATTTTTTTTTAATGATAGTTTGAGGATGGTTCGACAGACTTTATCTAGCAAGTCTCCTATCACCAAGAAATGCATTAGCCAAACTCTTGGTGAATTTGAGATGAATCGTGTTGGCCAAAAGAAAGGTGTGCATGCAACTTCAAAAATCCCATTCTGGTCTTTTCTGACTTGTTGTTTATTTGTTTTCTATATAAATCAGAAGCCCACTCTTCCTCTCCAGCGTGCAGCAATATGGGATGCTCACCTGCAGTGTATGCGAGTCCTGTGCTCAGCACCTTGTCTGAAGCAGTAGCAGAGGACTGGAAGGGATTCCCACTGCTTCCCTCTTTTCCC